TGGTTTACTGCTTGACTAACCTCTTCTTAGTAATAATTCCTTTTTTATAAAAAAAATAAAAATACAATGCTGGTAGGATGTTATGCAATTTTATATGTTCTAATAACAAATGTGTTTTTTTTTTTTGTTTTTTTTTGTTTATTTAATTCTGCATGTACACCTGTTGATGTTGAGTCTTAATGTTGAAGCTGCATTATGATGCACAGATAATGGAAGGCATTCTATAAATGATATATGGATATAGGAGGAATTTTGTGTACTTTGTAAACCAATAAATCTTGAGTTTCATCCTGTTTTCAGGATGCGGAAATCTGACTGATCTCTGATCTGTTAGTCTGCAGCGAGATCGTGAAACAGTTCATGATCCAACCTTCAGTCATCGTGGGTCAGGACCGTGTCGGGGCTCACATTAGAGTTCACTTTGACAGATCTGTTATAAATGTTTCTTGAATCACTGTTTCACACACAGCAGAACAATATTACCAACATTTGTATAGCAATGAAATATCACTAAAAAAGTGAAGCTGAAGTGAAGTCCGATTCGCTGCCTTCTTGGTTGAAAACTTGGTTCAAGCGTTTTCTCATTCGATCACACTATTCACGCTGGCTGAGATGCAGAAGCCGCTGGTGAACCGGTTCGTGTTGTGGCTTTTGCGTTTGTCCTCATTTTTGAAAAGTAAGATTAAAACTGCAAGAAGACCAACAATGATTTCTTCTGTTTTCTTATCTGCACAGTGCTGATGAATATCTTGTCATCTCATGCGCCAAAGACAAAATTATGGTATTTTCTCAAAAAGTCAATACAACTGTGTGAAATATCAGTTATACATACAATACTAGTTGTATTATAGTTGTGTAGATGACCTCACACAATGCTGAGGTGTCCCTGAATTAGTGAATCTGTCTGAATAAACTTCTTCCTGGGACTCCACGAAGGGCCTGTGGGTCACGTAATCAGGAAGCCTACTCCACCCCTCCCTGTGAAGGTGATCTGGATTGAGAGGAGGCTCTGGGAGGAGGTAGTGAACTTAATGAGGGAATACGATGTCTGTAACCGACCCTGAGGTATGAGGTAGCTTTTTAAGTGTCCATATTGCCATCATTACAAATCCATTGCACATACATACACAGATGTTTTGGGGGGTTAGACTATTCAAGAGAGAATCAGTCCCATACAGTTTGATCAGTGCAGTTGATGATGTAGGAAACATGCCAAAGCATTAGCAATTTGTTCAAAATGAGAAGTTGCTTCTATGATGTGCACAAGTGACTCGATGATGTGGTGGAACAAGTAGATTTGAGAAGTTCAATTGTGATCAGAGAAATGTACCAAAGTGATTATTAGGCCTCATTCTCCCCAGCAAACAAGGCACCACCTCAAGGGGTAGCTCTGCAGGATGAGTTCAGTGACTTGCTGAAACTTTGGGAAACCATGGTTCATATAAGGTAGGACACCAGAGGTAAAAGCATTGTTTTTTAATGCTATTTAAATGGTAAATGGACTGTACTTGTATAGCACCTTTCTATTCTTCCCACCACTCAAAATGCTTTTACATCCATTCACATGCATTCATACACTGATGGCATCAGAACTAACTAATCATTCACACCGATGGCAGAGCCTTCGGGAGCAATTTGGGGTGTCTTGTCATATTGACCAGTCCAGTGTTTATTTACTTTGTCTGTTTGTGTCTGTAGATTCCCCCTGAATTCACCAAAAGTTATCGATACATAATGCCTCCTTTGTATATTTAAACATAATATTTCAGAGAACTTTTTTTTGTAATTTTACAAAACATTGTTTTTCATTGACTCTGACTCTGAATCTCCACTTCAGCAGCTCTTACATCCACCAAACGTTACATCATTCTTTTTGCCTGTTTTTATAGCTGTTGACAGTATTTTCTGATGTATTTAAACACAAACATGTTTATATGATATATTAAAAAATTACAAATAATTGTCTTAATGTAAGTTGTCAAATGGGGAAGTTTAATGTTGATACCAATTAGTTAAACATTTGAGCTTACTCACCTGTAGCAACATAATTGTCTATCACTCCTGTTAAAACAGATTGAAGTCATAATAACAACGGACATTTGGCACCTTGCTAAAAGTTGCTGAGGCAGAAGCGCTAAAGAACCCCTCAGTCTTAAATATTTGTGTCAGATGTGTGTTTATCTTAATTCCTTTCTCTCCAGCAAAGCTGACAATATGTAATATTTAAGAACTCAAGCCAAATGGTATGAAGATGCTGAGAGATCAACCTAACTTGTACACTGAAAAGAGATAAAAGTGGGAAATGTAATCTCAGTTTTAAACGTCTAACAAACATAACATCTTATCTTCAGGGGTTATTATGAAACGCTGTATCATTTACACTCTGCTGCTCTTGGTCAGGTATCTGCTGACCACAGTGTGGAGCTTCTATTGGTGCTGAGGAGAGAAGACTGCTGGAGAACAACTTAACAACTGATGAAATCAAGACAGCTATTCATCTTTCGCCCTCTGTAACCACAGACCACGATGGTCTCCCCATAAACTCTAAACAATATTTCATAATAAACTCACTCCTCTACCTTTGGTTCATTGTTGTGATGTTTTCCAAGAAGGATCAGTTTCTGTAATCTCGAATACAGCATCAATCATTTTTGATTCCAAAAACAGTTTATCTGAGACCTGGCAAACTCTAAACATTTAAAATTTTCCGAATGTGAATGATGTAACCCCCCCTACGTCATCCCTGCACCGCTCTATAGGAGACAGTCCCCATGGAGACCAATGAGATGGCACAGTTTATATGGGGGGAAGCTCGACAAAGAAAGTGGTCTTTATAATGATAACGGGTTTGAATCGTTTGCAGATAATAACTCAGACATCTCCTCAAAACAAAGACGTTGGTGAAGGTACCTCCACTTCTTCTAGGAATCAGGTGAAAGAAGCAGCCATGGCCTCCTGTTGTCACGACTGTAAAGAAGTCATCAACAAAGTATCATCAGCTTTGACAATAATCTCAGCTGTAGTTTGACCAGTGATGCATGGGACGAGGTTTGGAGAGCTGAAACTAACTCAGCAGGCAATTATGTGTTCTAAAAATCACATGTTTAAATATGCAAATGAGGGATTATTTTATCAAATATGTGCTGATTTGCATGAATTTGATAAAATTTCATTTTGTCAAACATATTAGAGTCAAAGGTTTTCACAGAGGCAATTTTGGATATCTCTTTGTATCACTCCATAAATCTGAAAATATTGTCATTAGCCATTAAAAAAACTATTTCGCCATGTTTTTTCGTAATAAACTGTTGTATAAATCAGGCTATAAGTGAACAAACTCCTCTGTAGAAACCTCCAGAATATTGACAGGAATGAAACTGCTTGGAGTTTGGATCGATGAGAAGAGGAAACCTCTACGTCACAGGAGCGATAGAGCTACGGCTGCTGTCAAAGGCTGAGAAACTAAATACAGGACGTCTAACTTTGTTTTTTCTTCAATAGACTATATTCAAATAATGATGAAGATAGCGTCTTGGTTCTGTTAGCCTTCTGTCGGTCCAATATACACACATGGTTAACGTGGTACATTCAAACACTTAGTTAGGTTTAGGGACAGCATCCTGGTTGGGCTTAAAACAAATACGTAAACCAAGTAAAACGTAACATAAGTGCTGAAAACACTCAAAAAAACATATATATATTTAATCCTTAATATATATATATATTTTGTGTGTATATATATATATATATATATATATATATATATTTTGTTTAGATAAATTCACAGAGCTCTACGGTCAGCAGGAGTTCTAGGTGGAAACAAGCTGTTGATGTGGAGCTGTCCTTGGTGCTGAACGCCTCAATCCAATTACCTCTCTCTCTCTCTGTCTGTCTGTCTGTCTGTCTCTCCCCTCCCTCTCTCTCGTTCTCTCTCTCTCTCCCTCTCTCTGTAACTCTCTCTCTCCCCCTCCCTCCCTCCCTCTCTCTCTATCTCTCTCTCACTCTCTCCCTCTCTCTCTCATCCCTTTATTCTCTTATCCTCCGGGCCGGTAGCTGTTCGGTCCAGCCGGTTCACATTACTCCTCTCTTTCTGTATCTGCTGTGTGTGTGTCTCCTCATGGCTCTCAGCTCTGCGGACACATTTCCTGGAACATTTCCTCTCTTGCGCTGATAGATTTATTTATTTTATTTTTTACTTTTTATTTTCCTCTTTTGGGGGCCAAAATGCGGATCTGCAGCAGTCTGGGTGCTCTCAGGAGGCTTCGTGGATCAGTGGCCGGCGGGGAGACGAGGCAGCTGGGATAACTACCTGAACCGGGTGCTATGGTGGGACCTCCTGGAGGGGCAAGACTTCAACTTTCACGAAATATCAGCATTGTTACCAGAGGTGGGTTACATGGAGATTCTGTTACTTTACAGATCCTTTTCTAAATATATATATTTGAATAACAGTAGTATAGGCTGCTATTGAGTGTTAAGTGGAAGTAATGGAATAGTGATTTGGTCCAGATATACTTCCTGTCTATCTATTTAAACTTGTTGTGTGCTCAGGTGCGTAATCACGGGTTAAGCCTCAGTCTCCTTAATCTCTTGA